CCACTCACCTCAGCCTCCCAAAGGCGCAGGATTACAGGCTGAGCCACCGAGTCCGGCTGTCTGAATTCTAACACTTAGGCACTCTTCACTGTCATTTGCTAAGTGGAACGAATGTCTTACTATCATTGTTTTAGGTCATCAGGGTGAGTGCAGTGTACCAGCCCTGTCAGTAGGTAGAAAGAACCCACTGCTGGTGAATGGAGCTGCTGCACACGGAATTACACAATAGGTTTAATTAAGCAACTATTGTATCTACAAATACCAATAGTTCTTAAACTTAGGTGACAAAAATCACCTGGACTGTGCATTAAAACAGATTGCTGGCCTGGGCTCGGTGTCTCTGCCTATAATCCCAGCACTTTGGGAGGTTAAGGCGAGTGGATTGCCTGAGCCTGCAGGTTTGAGACCAGACCAGGCAACTTGGCGAGATGTGGTAGCGCACGCCAGGCATGGTAGTTCTTGCTACTTGAAAGGCTGAGGCAGAAAGATTGCCAGAGCCCAGCAGGTTGACGCTGGGGTGGCCGTGAGTATGTCACTGCACTCCAGCCTGGACAACAGAGTGAGACGCCAACTCCAAAAAAAAAGATTGCTGCATCTACCACTTGTTTCGGTCTGGGGTGAGACCCAAGAATTTGCATTTCTTTTTTCTTTTTAGTTGGAGTCTCACTCTCACCCAGGCTGGAGTGTAGTAACATGCTCATGGCCACCACAGCCTCGACTTGCTAAGCTTAGGTTATCCTTCTACTTCAGCCTTCCAAGTAGCTGGAACCACAGGTGTGTGCCACTACGCCTGGCTAATTTTTAAAAAATTTATTGTAGAGAGAGTTCTCTCTCCAAGTTGCCCAGGCTGGTCTCGAATCCCTGGGCCCAGGCAATCCTCTTGCCTCCACTTCACAATGTGCTGGGATTCTAGACATGAGCCACGGCACCCAGCAAGAATTTGCATTTCTAACAAGTTTCCAGGTGATTCTGATGCTGTTGTCCAAAACTAACCACAATAGAATCAATGGCTTACAGGGATCTTGCAGAGTTAATTCTGTGACCTCATAGTGCAGTATCTACAGAGTTAACTAGGGCATGGATACTAGAGTTTTTACAAATCACTGTTGTGTCTATACCTAACATTATACATTCAGACTTTACCATCTTGCTAACTACCGTAATTTGTTTTTTCAAGTGTCATATATATATATACATATATATATATATATTTTTTTTTTTTTTTTTTTTTGAGTTGGAGTCTCAATCTGTCACCCAGACTGGAGTGCAGTGGCCGCTCCCGGCCACCGCAGCCTTGACCTGCTGAGCTCCAGCGATCCTTCCGCCTCAGCCTTACAAGCAGCCGGAATTACAGGCATGTGCTACCACGCCCAGCTGATTTTTTGATTTATTGTAGAGATGAGGTCTCGCTGCCCAGGCAGGTCTCTAACCCGCGGGCTCAGGCAATCCACTCACCTCAGCCTCCCAAAGGCGCCGGATTCCAGGCTGAGCCACCGAGCTGAGCCACCAAGCCCGGCTCAACTGTCTTATATTAAACATAGGCCTCAGCCTTTCTTTTTTCTTTTTTTTTTTTGAGTTGGAGTCTCACTCTGTCGCCCAGACTGGAGTGCAGTGGTCGCTCCCGGCCACCGCAGCCTTGACCTGCTGGGCTCCGGCGATCCTGCTGCCTCAGCCTTCCAAGTAGCTGGAACTACAGGCGCGCGCTACCACGCCCGGCTAATTTTTGACTTATTGTAGAGATGAGGTCTCGCCAAGTTGCCCGGGTGGGTCTCGAACCCGCGGGCTCAGGCAATCCACTCACCTCAGCCTCCCAAAGGCGCGGGATTACAGGCTGAGCCACCGAGCCCGGCTCTCAGCCTTTCAAATTAGTATTTAGAGCAAAAGATTGAGGACTTGCAGTTTACAGAGTAGTTTTCCTTCATGTGATTTTACAGGTGGTGGGGAAGCGCTCAGAGCCCTTGGGGCCTGTGCGACGTCACCTATTGACTAGAGATGCTCTACTAGCACTCGGGTCTTCAGACATCTGGTCCAGTCTTTTACTCCATCACAGTGCGAAGATGTGCACGGATAGCACAAAGATCCATGCTTCTGAGAGAATCAGGGAGGTTCAGCCTTGCAGTCACATAGCCACTGAAAGACACAAAAAATGAGGCCTTACTAGGGGCAGTTTAAAGAGTATTTTCCCCCTCAAAAAAAAGAAGTTTTCCCCATGTGTGATAATACCCGCACACAGCCATAACCACCACCGATGAAGCACACCTCACTGCTCCTGTCGTCAGAGAACCAGAAGCTGGGGTGTGGCTCCCACTTTGAGGGAAGGACACCTCCCCCCCTACCTCAGGCCCACCCCAGGCCCCGGCAGCCTGCGACAGACCTGACGGCTGGAGACGAGAGCTCCCGGTGGGGGGCTCCGCGGGGCTCCTCCCGGAAGCAGGAGGACCTCGCTGCCCACACGCCCCGCCCTTTCCTCCTTCGGCATCCTGGGGTCTGAGGTGGGCGTGGCCAGGCCGGCTGTAGGTCTGCTCGTCTTGCCCGCCGCTGGGCACTCCCGTAAGCGGCGGCCAGGGCTGCGGCGGCCAGTTCTGGGCTGTGGACCTCAGGTGGGGCCGACCGAGCGGGCGATGGGCCGCCCGGGCCGGCTGCTGCTGTGGCTTGGAGCCGCGGGTAAGTGCCGTGGGCAGCTAGGGAGCGGACTAGCCAGAAGCACCTTCCTAGGCTTGGGGATGGCGGTTGCAGCAGGCCGGGTCCTAGAGATTCCACCAGAAGCCTCGAACCCTTGAGGCCAAAGTTCTCGGGTCCGTGCTCCTGGAGTGCGGGCGGAGAAGCGTGGAGCGCGCGGGGATCCGACGGCCGGGATCACGCAACTTGGAAAGGAGGAACCAGCTCTGGGGTCCCAGCACGGCCTGGCTGTGGGGCCACCGGTCTAAGGCCGTGAAAGGATGGGGGGACCTGCAGGACCGAACTCGGTGCGGCCCCGAGTCATTCACTGGGAAGGGCTCTCGAAGAGAGAAACTGACGGAGGTATCCGGGCGCCCCGCTGGGCTCAGCGACCAGAGCTTGGTGGCGGGCTGGGCGGGTTGGGGTGTGGCCGCGAGCCGCGGGAGTGCTGCTGCGGGTCATCTCCGTGCCTATCACCTACGCCCCTGCCCCCTTTAACATCGGGCGCCCTCTCTCCACACTGCTGGTCCCCTGTCACCTTTCAGGCGCCATTCTCTGCTCCAGCCCGGGGTCCCAGGCGCCTCTCCTGCCCCCCTCGTCCCCGCCGGTGCCGACTCCCAGCCCCCGGGACGCGAAAGTCAGGGTCTCGCCTCGCGGCTTGGAGCCAGCCTCCCCGCTGAAGTATCCCGGTGAGCTCCAGGCTCCTCCCTTCTCTCCTGCTCACCGTTCCTAGACCCCGCAAGCCCGGCCGGGAGATCGAGGCCCTTTGCTCTCTCCTTGCCCGCAGGCACCGAGCGGTCTTGGCTGTTTTCCACCTGCGGGGCCAGCGGCCGGCGAGGGCCCACACAAGCACAATGTGACGGGACGTACGCGGGGAGCAGCGTGGCGGTGACCGTGGAGGCCTCCGGGCCGCGGAGGGGCGCGCAGCTGTGGCGGGCGCCAGGCGCCGGCCAGTATCTGTAAGTGCCGGGCGGGGCTGAGGGCCGCGA